TGAAATCACACGTCTGGATTTCCTACCCATGTGACCTATTGTAGGGAACCTGCTTTGGCAGGGGGGTTGGATTTGACAAGCTCTTGAGGTCCCTTCCAGCTCCTGCAATTCTACGATTCTGTGGAAAGGAAATCCTTTGGAGCTATAAAAATATCCATGGTTCAGCCACATAATCAATATAGCTCACAGTCTTTAGTATCTCCTGAAACTCTACTAATTTGAGTTCACAGTGTTTAATGAATTTAGCATCCTATACTGTTGAGATGTGCTGTCACTACCAGTTATCTATTTCTACTTCACATTAAATGCTCCTTTAGCTCAAATGAATGAAAATAAATGTTCCTAAATGAACATGACATTAGATACTTTCCATTTCAGTTACAAGAGAACAAAGTAAGAACATACAAGGTGCTACTGAGTTAACTTTAAAGCAAGTAAGCATGGCTCTACTGAAACTGCAGAAACTATGTAATTAATTAAATACCAGTCAGAAAAATTAAACAGCAGAGAGCTTCAGATCACTTATGTTCCATCAGGAGGTGACTCACTGAAGAACAGGAAAGGTTTCCCATTTTGTTACGTGTTTTTGGTGGTGTTTTTTTTGCTCGTTTGTTTTTATAGGCATCAGGACCTGCCAACAGGTATATAATATAACAAATATATTTAGGAGATAACACCTAATTGCTGCAATACCATACCTACTTTAAGTGTTACAATTGCATGGACTTTATTTATGATACCATGATAAAGTGGCATTTAGGCACTAAGCAAAGTACCTCCTCTCTTCCCAGTACCAGACATTAACAGATAAATGCAGCCTGCAGTACATTCCCCCTCAAAACCTCGTCCTGTGCTCCTTTAGATTAAATGAGGATAAGAACTGGTGAATGTAATAGATAAAGAAGTTACGGTAAAGCTACAGTAATAAACAGCTTTTTCTTACTGAGAGCACTTTCAGATTTAAAATAAGTGTCAAAGTTCTGCTTTTTTAAACTTTACATGGACAATTTAATTTTTTGAAATGCAAAGCTAATAAGAAACCAGGAAAGGGATTTTTGAGTTACTCTTTTCTCATTAAGACTACTAGGTTTTTTTCCTCACAAATTTACATGCCTGAAGATTTTGGAATAGTTTCAGAAGAAGGCATTACTGCCCCATTGAAAACTGCAACACAGAGACCAATATTGAGTTTTCAGTAGCAGAACCAGGAATACAAACCCTCTGCTGTGACATCAAAGCTAAAGCAAACACATCATTCTGACCACAGGATTAAAAATCATTTCCTACTGTTGAACAATGTTTCACAAACAGAAACATATCTAAACTACTGTTCTAGAGTGCCAGCATCTGTGACAAGATACCTGAAAGCAATGTACTGATAGACATAGCAGGATTTGCTGTGCATATATGTACCCAGCTCAACCTCCTACTTGCTTGGGCAAGCTGTTTGTTGAAATTTCAATACAGGAGGGTTGTATTGATCACATCATGCATTTATGATTTATGAACTTTTCTAAGGAACTGTCTGTCCTAGCAAGACGAGGCATCAGTGAGCAGAGTAGCGCGTTCTAAGCCAGATCTCTGGCAAGAAGCCTTCTCACTGCACAAATGCACGATGTGGAATGAAATGTAAGACAGGAAAGCAAGCCAAAGCCAGTGGATCTGCAGACGGAACAGTTTGTTGTCCCATGGAAGCCAAACAAAGCATCATTTGCCTTTTAGATGGTAGCAGCACAAGAAAAATGAGTTCATTTGTATCCAATAGTTTCTTCTACTGATGAGGAAACCAAACGTAACAGTCATCACTGGGGCTAATGAATTAGAAGAAATTGATAAAAATTTTTTTTTAGTGTTTTCAATTATCCAAGTCATGTTTAACTCTCTTCCTAATAGTAACTCAGTCTCTGAATAGGTAATTAAGAGAGCATTTCTTTCCAAGTTGAAAGTCCTTGCACAGGGTTGAGTGGCAGCACTCCCTGAACTTATCAATCAGCAGGAGTTCAAATTCTCAAAGATCTGGGATACATGTTTTCTACCAAGCTGAAAAGACATACTTAGGGCAAGACTGCAAGAATTAGAGGATAGTTTGCCTCCCCAAGTACTAGGCAGCACTTCAGAAAACAGAAAGATGAGCAAAAAGGCAGCTAACAACAGAGTCTATTCTCACTTCTGGAAGAAGCTGTGTGTTAGGCCTTGCTCATTTTGAGCTTTCATTCAAATCACCTCTCCATTCTATAGACACACAAAACACTCTTGGTGGAACATTTTCAGAAAGGAAAAATTGAGTAAGAGGATGTTTAGCTCCATGCTATAGCTTGCTGCCTATCCCATATTTTTACTTCTACAAAACATCTATGGACTTTGATACTATCTTTGTTGTTTCATACCAAAATGGGACACGCGCTCAAAAGATGGAACTGATCTGAACTACAGCACTCCTGCTGCTTGCACTTTGCTTCCTTAGTCAATCCTACTAGATTTCTTTCATTGTCTCCATTTCCAACTAGCTTCACACAACAAATAAGAAATGGCTTGTCCCTACAGATACTGCTTTTCACATGTAGACTTTTTAAAAAGACAAATAGTTTGTAGTGAGCACTTAGGTTACCACATCTACTAGCTGCATAGCTTCTAGAGATTTGTTCAGTCTACTTCAAATTTATGTCAAGCAGTAGTGATGGTATTTCTTGTCTTACTTTTCCATCTTTGGTCCAAGATTTTCCTTCAGCTCCCGTTTCTCTCTCAAGACTTAGCAAAGGGATAAATGCTGTCTGTAACCTAAAACATTTAGCTTGTCTACAAATCTGCAATGTACTTGACCATCTTTCCAGCCAGTGATCAGTTCTGAAGCTTTTCACTTGGACATGGTCAGATTCTCAGTGTAGAAAAGAAAGTTCTGTGTCTACACAGAGACAAAGAAAAGCCATTCACAGTAATTCAGGAAACCAGTAATACAAGCCACTCTTTTGGTCAGAAAGAGGTCTAAGGAATAGACATTTCCCCTGCTTAATTAATACTATATTGTTACAGTGATATATAATGCATCCAGTCAGGGATGCTCTGATTAGATTCAGCAATTCCAGTTTTGTGCACTACTTAGACACTGAGGGATAACACTACAGAACAATACTTTTCTCCTGATGAAATACCTAGGAGTACTCCTCTAATTTGGCCACCATTTACTTACTTACACATGCCACCCTCAAAATTGCAGATTCTACTCACTGGAATCCTTTCTGAGAAGCAACTTTCTGGACCATGCGCTGCAATCCAAAGACATGTGGATCATTAACACAAGTGAGCATCCAGCCACACCATTAATCACTGGCTGGCTCAACACCTGCATTCTGCAGACAGCCCTCACCAAAGAAAGTTTGCAGCCGGCCCAACTCTGGCTGAGCTTCCTCATACCCACCAACTACCTCCACCCTCCATTTGTCAATTGTAAGTGATAATTTCTATTCAATCTGATACATATTATAAGAATATAAACAAATGCCTCTGGCTGTATCACAGCTGCAATCACTTCACTTTATAGCCATCATTTATTACAGGCAGACAGGTGGCCGTTTGGTGGAATGCCGAAGAGGCTATCATCTGGACAATCACCAGGAAACACATTCACATTTACATTTTCTCCAAGCAGACAGGGAAAAGAAGCTTGTGGTTTCTGGAAAAACTTTACTGTGCTCCAAAATTTCTTCCTTTCCCAACCATGCAAATCACAGGAATACACCTGAATACTCCCAACCTAACTCACTGGTGAACATAATTAACATTTATTTAGAATTATTTAGAATTTTTGAAAATAGGAGCATAGTGAATCTTCCCTCATAGTTGCTTCCTTTCGTGTCTCACAACTGTGATACAGGATACTTGCTTTTTCTAAATACTGACCATTCGACTTCACCAGCAGGTGTTTCTAAACACATAAGTTCTGGGCTTTAAATTTAATGGTTAGCCCAGTATATGAGGCTGTCTTATGTGCAGCATGGCCCTATTAATGACAAAAGGGCACACTAAATCCATCCAAGAGGATTCAGTTTAGAAAGATGCAATGATCTTGGATTGAGGAGGTAGACAGTTGCTTACAAGAGATAAAGGCCCTGTTGATGCTACTTTTATGATGGTAGCTTGCTGAGACTGTCACACTTTGAAAACTGGGATCCAAAGGCCAATATGTAGGTTTTGGCTCCATCAGTCAGTTGTTCAGTAAGTGAGATGATACTACTAAACAGTATTAAATGAAAGCATAGGACTTGTTTTGCAAGATTCCAGCTCTGAAGTCAGCCAGCAGAGATTCTATAGGAGAAGAGTTGCGTGTGGAGGCCAGAGGTATGCTAAGACTGCACTGCCTGTTGTGTAAAGTAGCATAGCAGGGACACATGGATGAGGATGCTCCCAACCTATATTCTTCTGGTTAAAAATGCAGAGAAAGCCTTAGACAATAGATGTATGTGCAACAAGGCTGCTACACTGACTTTTTAAATAAAGTATATATACACACTTCCTTAGTCTCAGTGTGAATTTGGATTTTGCAGGAAATAAACAGGGCTGAGGGCAGTGACAGCAGGGAATACTCAACAGTAATTAACAAAGTAAGTAACCTAACAATTGAAAGCAACCTTATTGTAATTAACCCAAACTTGACACTGAATAGAAATGATTGCTGGTAATTGGTAAACAGTGAGTGGAATTACGAGGTTGCAGTCTCTACTGATATCTTTGCCTCTCTCTAGGTAGCAAATGTTAGAAACCACCCATTACAACTAAGAACACCATTTTGCTGCTTGATTTTCTTCCCAAGGATTTTATGACTGACACTTCCCAGATTTAATATTCCCTTATTCTGGTATTTCAAAACAGTAAGAATTAATGTCTCGTGACAATCTTTTTTTTTTTTTTTTTTTTTTTTTTTTTACAAACAGAAAACTGGAAGTTCTTCCCATTCTTCCCCCAAATCAGTTACATTTACATAATTAAAATACTATGGAACATACCTTCTTCCTGTGGAAAATTACTATTTTTCACTTGAAAAGAAAAGAGCTGCCATGGTGCTTCATAGGAGTGGCTAAAGTCATCATCAAGGTTTCTTGTGACTTGTGTCAGGCAAGATTCATCAAAAAGGATTTAATTCACCAAGACACTCAGGCCTATTGAGAAAAACAGGAAGAGAAGAATTCAAAAACTGTAAGTATCTAGCAATTCAAATCTACATAACAATTATTTTGGATTTCATTTTGCATGGAAAATTAAACCTACTCCTCACAGTTACATACTCTTCTACAACTGTTTCCTCAGTTGAAACAGCCCGTTTTCCCAAAAATCTCAGCTAGCTACCTAGCTTTGAAACATTTCTATTTCTGCAGCCACCTGTGATAGACCAGATGAGATTGAACACAATACTGTGTAGTCTACAGTTTATCAATACTTGATTCTGTTCTTAAGGACTGGCTGGTAACACTGTGCAGTTATGTAAAAACTCTCTCATTGAAACATCAAAAAGAACAGCTAGTCTTTCTGCATTTCTGGTTGAAAAAAATGAGACCTAAAGATAAACATTTTAAAGCACAAACTAAAAAAACAAAGAAGCAGAACTTCAAGACCATTGGTGGTTTTCTTTTTTTTTTTTTCTTTGTTAGAAGAAAAATGTTTGCAGTGATGAAAAAAATTGGAGGCACAACGCGCAGATCTATAAAACTCAGGGGCTGTAAAACTGCAAAGCAAAACTGGGAAAAGCTTCAACTCTTCCCATAACAAGTTACTCTCTATATAATCCTAGAACTGAAGGTCAAAAGCAGTTGACATCACATTACAGGTTCATCTCTAAGTCTGCAAACTCTTCCTCACTTCCAACCATCTTTTCCCCATAAAGGAACTAATGAACAAATACACACGAAGACCTCCACCTAATTTTCATATACCTAAATGCAAAACGTTTCAGTTTAAACAGGCTGCCTGGATTAGATAGAAGTTAATTAAAGCAATCTCTCATTTTTTACTGTTTAAAACTTAAGACTTGGTAAAGGAGGAGTAAGACAGGACTTTTTATTACTCTTAGATGGTGCTAAGAGGGCCTATAAATACATCTCTTCTTCCTGTGATCCCATTCATCTTGCTGCCTTCCCTACTCCCCTTTGCCAACAATCAGATCCCAGTAAACAACCTCAAGTGAAATTTGCAACTGTCAGATAAACATTAAAAATGCTTCTCTTGTCCTTTCCCATTGATAGTCCCATTAATATTGTAATAGAAGAAAAAGTTATGAAAATGAATGCATGCTGGTTTTGGAAGTGAATGATGCAGACAGGAGCTGTGAAATATATGCACTTGAATACGCACAGACAAAGAGATACAGTGTACCCAGAAGTGTGCATTTACTTACACACAGTGTTTTAACATACAGGACTCCTTCCTAACCTTATGCTACTGTACATGGTGAAATAACTCCACTGACTTTTATCTGGTATAAATTCAACACAGGTAATATTAGAATTAAACTACAATGGCCTTTTTCTTTCTTACTTCCCCCCCACCCCCTCCAGAAAGAAAGAGAAATATCAAGTCTATGCAATTTGTCTCTTATTCCTCCTCTTTTTAATAGTCAGAGCGTAAAATTACCATATGATTTTGCCTATTTAGTACTTCCAGGCAATATATAAATCTCTAGCTATTTGCCTACTACTAATTTAAAAAATCTGTACCACAAACTTAAGTGGAGGAATATGGGGGAAAAAAAAGCCATAAACAGTAAAATCAAACTCCTACACTAAATCCTTCCTTTTAGACAAAAATGAATTCAAAGACTATTCAATAAAAATTTCAAAAAAGAAACAGTACTGCTTGCCTCTGTTTCCACAATAAAATGGTGTGTTTGGTGTCTTCCATTTGAACCTTCACTAAAAATCAACAGATTTGTAAAATGTAAGGTTACAAAATTAAGTCAGGTTGCAACATAATCACCAAACTATCTTAAAATATCATGTAGTTTATTGTCTCCTAAATATATATGTATGTAAATGCATGCATACGTGTTTTCTTATCTGGTTTTACATTTTCTGAGCTTTTACATTCTATCAGCTCAAGGGTTTTTTTTACAGGTAGAAGCTTTGCACGCTTTTAATAAAGTAACTCAAGGATACCTCATGGGAAAGTGGGATTTCAGAGCCCAGAGTTCTAGGAATACTCCCAGGTAGAGAGGCAGATGGAGAGATACAGTTGTCTGAGAAGCCTTACCTGCTCAGTCAAGACCTAATTTCCCGAAAATAAAATACACTGTCATACTGTTCTAATTCATAATGTACTGAGATTTCACTGATGATCTTACAATCCAGGATTTTGCAGCTTCTAGTCACTTATTTCTGAAGTCTCTTAATGATAAGTTCCCAGAATTCTTTGAATCTCATACTTTTCCTACAGGTTTTCATTTCCATGTGAGAGTGAAAAGATCCATACAAAGAACATGAAATGGATCTTTCAAACTCATGGTTCTCTATTGCTCAGGTCAACTGTGATTTTGCAGAGAAACCATTGCCTCACTGACTTATGCTTATATTAAGCAAAGGTAAAGCAAACAAACAGTTATTAATTTTATAGTCATTTAACATCTTAGAAGCAGACCACGAACATTCTAAAGTTGCTAACAATCATAGAGCCTGGTTGATTTTTTTCCTGTTACAAAACATCATTGCAAAAGCAAAATTAGTTTCTGACGTTCTCATCAAAGTCATAAAGAGGTCAGTCAGACTTATCAGATTTCAGCTGTTCTAGTGCCTCTTAAACTGAAATTTGTTTCATTCATTCTGATACACTGATTATGGAAAAATTCCACTGTAGACTTCTGCTATTTTAATCACAGATTACCAAAAAGTAATCATCCTCTGAAATTCATATTAAAATTTCATCTCAGTGGCAGACAAGTTAGGTAAGATGCTAGTTGGATGAAATTAAAAACTCACATAAAAGCATAGCAAACTTTAGCTTAACGTAGCTGAAAGCAAGGAATTATACTGAAGTCAAGAAATCTGGATAGTTAAGAGATACATACAAGACAAGTGTGGCTTCATCAAGGGCAGGCCTTGCCTGACCAACAAAGTCCTATAATGGTGCATAATGGACAAGGTAAAGAACAACTGTTAACATCTGTCTGGACTTCAGTGAGGCCTTTGACACTGTCCTGCCCAACATTCACCTCTCCAAATTAGAAAGATAGGGATTTTTTTGTGTGTGGACTGTTTGATAGATAAGGAACAGGTTGTGAGATTGTACCCAGAGAATGGTGGTCAATGGCTCCATATCCAGATGTAGAACGGTGACAAGTATCCCTCAGGGGTCAGTAGTGGGCAAACATTCTTTAATATCTTCACCAACCATGTTGTAGTGGGATCAAGTACACCCTCAAGTTTGCAGAGGACACCAAACTGTATGGTGAGGGCAACACGCTCAAGGGGTGGAGTGCCATCAAGAGAGATCTAGACAGGCCCAGGTGAAACTTACGAAGTTCAGCAAAACAAGTGCAAAGTCTCGTACCTGGGTCATGCAAACTCTCACTATCAATACAAACCATAGGACAAAAGGATGGAGCACAGCCCTGCTGAAAAAATCTTGGGGGTAATGGTGGATAGGAAGCCGGACATGAAGCAGCAATATGCTCTCACAGCCCAGAAAGCCAACTGTATCCTGGGCTGCATCAAAAGAAGTGCGATCAGCAGGACGAGGGAGGCAATTCTCCCTGCTACTTCCTCTACTCTGTGCTGGTGAGACCTCTCCTGCATTACAGCAGATGTAGAGTCATCACTACTGGAGAGATGCAGCCCTATTGGAGTGCGTTCAGAGAAGGGCCGCAAAAATAATCCAAAGGATAGAACATCTCCCCTGTGAGGACAGGCTGACAGAGCTGACGCTGTCCAGTCTGGAGAAGAGAGAGGGGGAGACCTGAGAGCAGCCTTTCAGTATCTAAAGTGGGCTATAAGAAATAAGGGGACAGTTTTTAGCAGGGTCTGCTGTGACAGAACAAGGGAAAACAGTTTCAAATTAAAATGGGGGGAAAATATAGACTGGATATAAAAACCAGTAATTTATAGCCAAATGATCTTAGGGCTGATAATACACTACACTTCAAGCTAGACCATGATCTTACAAACTTACCGGCTACCTTTCACAAGTCAGCTACGGATACTGCATTTCATCAGCAACATTTACTGCAATGGTATAAACAAATACAACAAGTTACCTCACAATTACATTATTTTTCAACAGCTTGTTCACAAAACAACTTTGTTTGAATTTCTTCTTGAATTAGATTCAAAATAGTTTATATAAGCTCTTATATTTGTTAATATCAGGTTCGTACACCTGTTTTTCTTCCTGTATGGCTGTGTCCCTTCATTTTGTACACAGGAATGTTACTATTATCACAAAAATCTTCTCTGGTAAGAAGAAAAATGAACTGCTTACTCTGAGGTCTTGCACACCTACCTGAAAACTATCAACCAGCTTCAGCTACAAAAATTCATTCAAGCAGGGCAGTTGAACTGCTATGGAGCAGAGGATAAAAGAGCTTTCCACTGACTGGCCCTTACGCATTCATTTGCATGGGGGCAGTGGAGTTATAAAGAGTTCCCTTCCTCAAATGGCATTTTATGCTTATATAGTGCTGGTACAAGTAAGTAAAAAGAGACAAATAAGGAGCATTTACTGGTAGGCATGCCCAGGAGTGATATCTCATGATAATCATGAGACTCTGTCATGGAGGAACCTCAATGAGCAAAGGATTCACCATGCTTTGTTGTGATGGAAATGCAGCCCACAGCACCAACACAAGATTCAGCCTGAATCTAATACTGTTTGCAGATCGGTTTGAGCCTCGGGGAAACAAGTATGACAGAGCAGAGACAGAGCATAGGGCAGAGCTGGAATCCTTCTTTCGCGTATCAAAGCATCATCAGAAAGCAAACATCAAGGAAAATAAGCACTATGATGATCCATGTATTAACTTCCTGCCCTCCAAGGTCAGCATTTCTTAAACCACCCAGGACATTAGATTCTCTGCACAGTCTCCAGCCATTTAGAAATGGACGGCAAAGGAAGCTAAAGCTCTAATGGGATGAAATGTCAAAGAGAGCTTTTTATTTAAAGAAGTAGAGAAAAGAAA